AAGAGAGCTCAGTGGTGTTATGAACCCTACTGTTTACTCGGGGTTGCCATCTCCCACCCCCCAGGTCAGGATTTCACCCACCCCTGGCTCTGCTATGCACTGAGGCTGTACATTTCTTCACCTCTCCATAACTCACCATAAGCATACAAAGACACCCTAACTATAGGCACCTAACCACTCAACTCCACATGGGAAACAACTTCAGATTGCAAAGATCACAATGGTAAAGCAACGCAGAACCCCACCATGCTTAGTGAGTGAAAATGCTAGTCTTTAAGACTCAACAAGCTATATAACCTTACCGATAAAAAATTTGGAGAGGAATTGTTGAAGATGCATAAGAAACTCAAAGAAATAATGGAACACACAGCCAACAAAACACAAGAAGACATGAGACCAAAACTTAGGAAAATACAAACAAAATTGGCAGATCTGAAAAACCTAGTAGGTGAAATATAAAACTCACTGGAAGTTCTCAGCAGCAGAGTAACAGCTGAGGACAGAATCAGTGAGGTCCAAGATGAGGTGCAGAAAATCTTCAGACAGAAGATTAAAAAAAGACTCAAAATAAACAGATGACAATAGAACTTTGGAAAGAATTGAAGAGGAACAACTTAAGAATCATCGGGGTCCCAAAGGGGCAGAAAGACAGCTTTGATTAAGAAGCAACAGACAAAGCCATCATTGCAGAGCTGAAGAGTGTATGCACCCAGAATTCAAGAGGCCTGAAGGGTACCAGCTAAAATAAAAATCCAAATAAAAATACTCCAAGATACATTCTAATCAAAATTATGAAAATCATAGACATAATGCTGAAAACAGCTAGATCAAAGAAGAAAATTATATACAAGGAACCATCCTTAAGATTTACAGTGGACTCATCAGATGAAACCCTCTGAGCCTGAAGACTGAAAACACTGGTGGGATACAGTGAAAAAACTCATGTAAATGAATGCCTCACTAATACTTTACTCAGCAAGACTCTCATTTAGATTTTGAAGGAACAATACACAACTTCACAGATAACCACTTAGGAAGTTCATATACTCAAAACCATCATTATAAGAAGTACTAAATGGACTACTTTAAGAATAGCCCACAAACACACCAAATCCTTCAGAAAGGTAACACAGAACTCCTTAACAATAATCTCTCTCAATATCAACGGGCTAAATGTACCAATTAAGAGACACAGAGTGGTAGAATAGATTAGAAAATTGAACCCAACACTCTGCTATCTGCAAGAAACACATTTGAACAGTCAGAATACACACAGTCTCAAAGTTAAAGGCTGGAAGAAAATGTGAGAAAACAACCCCTTCAAGAAGGCTGGGGTGCAGCGAGACTCTCATTCATAATAGAAGGAACAACACACAGTTTCACGGACAAACAACAGCTCAGGAACTTCATAGACTCAAAACCATGGTTACAAGTACAACTAAATGGGCTACTTTAAGGCAAGACAGGCCTCTCAAATACACCAAATTTCAACAGAACAATGGGACAAAATCCCATAACAATAATCTCTCTCAATGTCAATGGGCTAAACGCACCAATTAAAAGACATAGAGTGGCAGGATGGATTAGAAAATTGAACCCAACATTCTGCTGCCTGCAAGAAACACATCTCAATAGTCAAAGCAAACACAGACTCAGAGTTAAAGGCTGGAAAACAATCCTACAGGCAAACAGCTCCCAGAAAAAAGCTGGGGTAGCTATCCTAATATCAGACCACATCAATTTCAGAGTGAAGAAGGTCATAAGAGACAGTGAAGGCCATTTCCTATTGACCAAAGGATCTGTACAACAGGAAGAACTTACAATAATAAATGTATATGCACCTAATGAGAGACCAGCAAAGTACTTAAAACAATTACTCATAGATTTGGAGAAAGACATCGATAGCAACACAATACTAGTGGGAGACCTCAACACCGCTTTGTCACCTCTTGATAGATCAACCAGACTCAAGCTTAGCAAGGACATACTTCATCTGAGGGAAACAATGGAAGAAAGGGGCTTAGTAGATATATACAGGACACTTCATCCACAAAAAGCTCAATACCCATTCTTCTCAAGCGAACATGGAACATTCTCCAAGATAGACCACATGCTGAGCCACAAAACATGCCTCCATAAAATTAAGAAGATAGAGATTATATCAACAATCTTCTCAGACCATAATGCGCTGAAATTAGAAGTAAATCACACACAAAAACAGAAAACTAAATTAAACACATGGAAATTAAACAGTGCACTATTAAACAACGAGTGGCTTAGACAGGAAATTAAAGAGGAAATCAAAAGATTCCTAGAAACGAATGAAAATGAGGACACGAGTTACCAAAACTTATGGGACACAGCAAAAGCAGTCTTAAGAGGAAAGTTTATAGCTCTACAAGCATTCCTCAGAAAGGAGGAGCGAGCCCACATAAATAAACTAACCTCACAGCTTAAGAACTTGGAGAAGGACCAACAAAAGGAGCACAACCCTAACAGGAGGAAGGAAATAATAAAACTCAGAGCAGAGATTAACGAGATGGAAACCCAGAAAACAATCCAAAAGATCAATGAAACCAAGAGCTGGTTCTTTGAGAAAATTAACAAAATCGATAAGCCCCTAGCAAAACCCACAAAGAAAGGGAGAGAGAAAACCCTAATAAACCGAATCAGAAATGAAAAGGGGGTCATTACAACAGAAACTACAGAAATTCAAAGGATCCTCAGGGAGTACTTTGAAAAGCTTTATGCCACAGAACATCAAAACCTCGAGGAAATGGATAAATTCATAGACTCCTACAGACTCCCAAGGCTGAACCAAGAAGACCTGGAATACCTGAACAGACCTATCACCATCAAGGAAATTGAAATGGTAATAAAAAGTCTCCCCAAGCACAAAAGCCCTGGCCCGGATGGATTCACCAGTGAATTCTTCCAAATCTTTAAAGAAGACTTACTCCCAATCCTCTTTAAGCTTTTCCATGAAATTGAAATATCTAATACACTTCCGAACAGTTTCTATGAAGCAAATATCACACTGATACCAAAAGCAGACAGAGATAACACAAAGAAAGAGAACTACAGGCCGATATCCCTGATGAACACAGATGCAAAGATCCTCAACAAACTACTAGCAAATAGAATCCAACTACTCATCAAAAAGATCATACACCATGACCAAGTAGGATTCATCCCAGGGATGCAAGGATGGTTCAACATTCGGAAATCAATCAACATAATCCATCATATCAACAAAAGAAAAGATAAAAAACATATGATCATATCAATAGATGCAGAGAAAGCATTTGACAAGATCCAGCACCCCTTTATGATGAAAACCCTAGCCAAAATGGGCATAGAGGGGACTTTCCTCAACATAGTTAAAGCCATCTACCACAAGCCTACAGCAAGCATCATCCTCAATGGGGAAAAACTGAGAGCCTTCCCTCTAAGATCAGGGATGAGACAAGGATGCCCACTCTCCACTGCTGTTCAATATAGTACTGGAAGTACTTGCAATAGCAATTAGGCAAGAAAAAGACATTAAGGGCATTCAGGTAGGAAAGGAAGAAATAAAGCTCTCACTATTCGCAGATGATATGATACTATACTTAGAGAGCCCAATAACCTCCACCAAAAAACTCCTAGAAACAATAGACTTGTATAGTAAAGTTGCAGGTTATAAAATCAATACCCAAAAGTCCATGGCTTTCCTATATGCAAACAGTGAGAGAGAGGAAAGCTACATGAAAAAATCAATCCCGTTCACAATTGTGCCCCAGAAAATCAAGTACCTAGGAATCAGCTTAACTAAGGAAGTAAAGGACCTGTACAAAGAAAACTACAAAACGCTACTTCAGGAAATAAAAGAGGACATGAGGAAATGGAAAGACATCCCCTGCTCATGGGTCGGAAGACTTAACATTGTCAAAATGGCAATACTACCGAAAGCATTGTACAAATTCAATGCAATTCCTATAAGGATACCCATGACATTCTTCAAAGAAATGGAGAAAACACTCCTGAAATTTATATGGAACAATAAACCCCCACGAATAGATAAAGCAATTCTGGGGAAAAAGAAAATGGGAGGAATCAACCTCCCTAACTTCAAACTTTACTACAAAGCGGTAATAATCAAAACAGCATGGTACTGGAACAAAGGCAGAACTGCAGACCAATGGAACAGAGTTGAATACACTGACATCTCCCCCCAATCATATGATCATCTAATCTTTGATAAAGGTGCAAGAAATGTGAAGTGGAGTAAGGAAAGCCTCTTTAACAAATTGTGCTGGCATCACTGGACGGCTACATGCAAAAAAATGGGCTCAGAACTCTGCCTAACACCATGTACAAAAGTAAGATCAAAATGGATTAAAGACCTCAACATCAGACCAGAAGCCATAAGATACATTGAAGACAAAGTTGGCAAAACCCTCCATGACATTGAGGCTAATGGTATGTTCAAAGATGACATGCCACTGGCTGAGCAAGTGAAAACAGAGATAGATAAATGGGACTATCTTAAACTAAGAAGCTTCTGTACCTCCAAAGAAACAGTGACCAAAATACAAAGACAGTCTACAGAATGGGAAAGAATATTCGCCGAATACACATCTGACAAGGGGTTGATATCAAGGATATACAAAATACTGGTTGAACTCCACAAGAAGAAAACATCCAACCCCATCAAAAAATGGGGCAATGAAATGAACAGAAACTTTCTCAAAGAAGAAATCCGAATGGCAAAAAAGCACATGAGAAAATGCTCTACATCATTAATCATCAGGGAGATGCAGATCAAAACCACAATGAGATACCATCTCACACCTCAGAGACTGGCCCACATTCAAAAGAACAAAAGCAACTGTTGCTGGCGCGGATGTGGCGAGAAAGGGACACTCCTTCACTGTTGGTGGGAATGCCGACTGGTTCAGCCCTTTTGGAAAACAGTATGGACGTTCCTCAAAAAATTAGAAATTGAGCTCCCATTTGACCCAGCGATACCACTCCTGGGAATATATCCCAGAGAGGCAAAAATGTGTAGCCGAAGTGACATCTGCACTTGTTTGTTCATTGCAGCACTCTTTACAGTAGCCAGAAACTGGAAGAGACCTGAGTGCCCAAGAACAGATGACTGGTTAAAGAAACTTTGGTACATCTACACAATGGAGTACTATGTGGCTCTTAGAAAAGATGAAGTCATGAACTTTACATACAAGTGGTACAACATGGAAAGTATCATGCTAAGCGAAATGAGTCAGAAAGAGAGGGATAGACATAGAAAGATAGCATTCATCTGGGGGATATAAAATAATAAAATATGAGATTAATACCCAAGAATAGCTGAGAGCAACACCAGGAGAATTACTCCATAACTTAGAGGCCAGCTGGGTATTCTAGGGGAAAGGACAGTTCAGATAGAAAGGGGAACACCAAGTGGAGGGTGTTTGGAGGATCCTCCCAGGAGGGGAGATGCAGGTTGAAAGTAGACTGGACTGAACATGTTCACCATTCAATGCCTCTTTGGCTGATCACAACACCCAGGAGGAGAGAGAAAACAAAAGGGAATGCCCTGCCACAGTGGCAGGGGGGGATGGGGGGATGGGAGGATGGGGGGGGAGGGATATTATCCTGGTGGTGGAAAATGGGCACTGGTGGAGGGATGGGTATTTGATCGTGGTATGACCGAGATCTAAGCACAAAAATTTGTAAATCTACAACTGTACCTCATGGTGTTTCACTAATAAAAAAAAAAGAAAAAAAGAAAAAAAACAATCCCGTTAACAACTGTGCCCCAGAAAATCAAGTACCTAGGAATCAGTTTAACTAAGGAAGTAAAGGACCTGTACAAAGAAAACTACAAAACGCTACTTCAGGAAATAAAAGAGGACACGAGAAAATGGAAAGATACCCTGCTCATGAATCGGGAGAATTAACATTGTCAAAATGGCAATAGTTCCCAAAGTATTGTACAAATTTAATTCATTCCCTATAAGGATACCCATGACATTCTTCAAAGAAAGGGAGCAAACACTCCTGAAATTCACATGGAACAATAAGCCCCCACGAATAGCTAAAGCAATTATTGGGGAAAAGAAAATCAACATCCCTAACTTCAAACTCTACTACAAAGCAGCAATAATTAAAACAGCATAGTACTGGAACAAAGGCAGAACCTCAGACCAATGGAACAGGGTTGAATATACTGACATCTCCCCTCAAACATATGATCATCTAATCTTTGATAAAGGAGCAGGAAATGTTAAGTGGGATAAGGAAAGCCTCTTTAACAAATTGTGCTGGCAAAACTGGACAGCTACATGCAAAAAAAAGGGCTCATATCTCTACCTAACACCATATTAAAAAGTAAGATCAAAATGTATTAAAGACCTCAACATCAGACCGGAATCCATAATGGACATTGAAGACAAGGTTGGCAAAACCCTCCATGACATTGAAGCTAGTGGTATCTTCAAAGATGACACGCCACTGGCCGAGCAAGTGAAAACAGAGATAGACAAATGGGACTATATTAAACTAAGAAGCTTCTGCACCTCAAAAGAAACAGTGACCAAAATACGAAAATGTGCACTCTTGAAAGGATGGGTGTTTGATGATTATATGATCGAAGCACAAACATGAAAGCTTTGTTACTATACCTCACGGCGAATCAATAAAGAAAAAAAAAGAGTTGGGGAAGAGGGCAGCTGGGTTAGAAAAGGAACCTCTATGACAAGGATAGCTGGAGAAATCGCTCAGGATAGGAGGTGTGTGCTGAAAGGGTTTGGTAAAGGACCAAACGTGATGACTCTCAGTGTCTGTATTGCAAACCATAATGCACAAATGGGGGGGTGGAGACAGACATACAGACAGAGACAGACAGAGAGACAGAGAAGAAGAGTGCCTGCCATAGAGGCAGGCTGGGACGGAGAGGCGGTGGCAGGAGGGAAGCTGGGGACACTGGTGAAGGGACGGGTGTTGGAGCATTGTATGACTGAAACCTGATTGTAAAGAGCTTTGTAACTGTATCTCATGGTGATTCAATAAAGCAACAAGAAAAATTAAAATAAAAAAAAAAGAAGGCTGGGGTGGCCATACTGGTATCAGACAACATAGACTTCAGGCTGAAAAAGGTTATAAGAGACAGTGATGGTCATTTCAAGGGATAACAAGGGATCTCAAGGGATATGTACACACCAGGAAGAATTCACACACCTAAGTGTGCCTAATGAGGGACTAGTAAAATATTTAAAACAACTGCTAACAGACTTGAAGAAAAACACTGAGAGCAACACAATAGTAGTTGGAAATTTCAAAACTACTTTGTCACCCCTTGATAGATCAACTAGACTGAAGCTTCACAAAGAAATACTTTATTTGAGGGAAGAAATGGAAGAGAGGATATATATATATATATGTATATATATATACATATATATATATATATATATATATATAGTCGTTTATCCTCAAAAGACCAAATACAGATTCTTCTCCAATGTACATACTTTCCAAGAAAGATGACATGCTGGGACACAAAACATACCTTCACAAAGTCAAGAGGATAGAAATTATATCAATTAACTTCTCCAACCATGATGCAAAATAGAAGTTAGTAATAAACAGAAAGGAAGAAACAACTCAAACACCTGGAAATTAAATAATTCTTTAATGACCCACCTGTGGGTAAGAGAGGAAGTCAAACAGTAAATTAAAAGAGTAAAGTAAAAAACAGGAAGTAGGAAAGAAATAATATAAACTTAGAGCAGAAACTAATGAACTGGAATCCCCCACATACACACCCCCAAAATTAAATGAGATGCTGAAAGTAGACTACAGACCGAACATGATTGCCACCCAATGCCTCTTTTGCAAACCACAGCACCCAAAAGAAGAAAGAGAACAAAAGGGAGTTCCCTGTCATAGAGGCAGGGTGGGATGGGGGGATGGGGGGGGTGGGAGGGATACTGGGATTGGTGAGGGTGGAGAATGGGCACTGGTGGAGCGATGGGTACTTGATCATTGTATAACTGAAACCCAGCACAAAAATTTGTAAGTCTACAACTGTACCTCATGGTGTTTCATTAATAAAAAAAAAATAAATGAAAGATCAATGAAACCAACTGCTGATTTTTTTGAAAAAAATAATCAAGATTGATAAACTGTTAGCTAGACTCTCAAAGAAAAAGAGAAAGAACTCTAATAAAACAAATCAGAAATGAAAGAGGGAATATCACAACAGACACCACAGAGATTACTTTGAGAAACTTTATGCCATGAAACGAGAACATTGAAGAAATTGATAAATTCCTGAACTCCTATAACCTCCCAAAGATGAACCAAGATGATCTGTAATACTTGAACAGACCTATCACTATCAAGGAAATTGAAAGGGTAATCAAAAGTCTTCCCCCCAAAAAAAGCCCAGGCCTAGTTGAATTTACTAGTGAATTATTCCAAACCTTTAAAAGAGGACCTATTGCCAATCCTTTTCCATCTCTTCCAGGAAATTGAAGAAACAAAAAAACTCTAAACAGTTTATGTAAAGCAAACATCACCCTGATAACAAAATGAGACAGAGACACTACAGAAGAGAAAATTTTAGGCCAATATCCTTGGTGAACACAGAGGCAAAGATCCTCAACAAAATACTAGCAAACTAAAATCCAAAAATTCAAAAAGTTCATACAACATGACCAAGTAGGATTCATCCTGGAAATGCAAGGATGGTTTAACATATTTTCGTCAATCAAACATGATATACCACATCAATAAAAGAAAAAAAATATGATCACATCAATAGATGCAGAGAAAGCATTTTACAAGATCCAGCACCCATTCATGATAAAAAAAAAAACTCAATAAAATGGGAATTGAAAGAACTTTCCTCAATCTAGTCAAAGCCATCAATAGTAATACTGTGTAGTATTAGCTAAATAAAAAACATAAAAGCCAAAACAACACAAACATCCAGAAATATCTCCATGCTCAATTGACTTCTGAGAAAGGTACAATAGCAAGTAAATGTTATAAAGCAGTCTTTTCAATATCTGCATTCCTATGTTCATTGCACACCATTCACAATAGCCAAAATACGGAAATAATCCAAATGTTCAAGAACATGACTGGATAATGAAACTATGGTACATATACACAACGGAGTACTACTCAGTCATTAAAAAAGATGAAGTCATGCAATTTGCTGCTACATGAATGGATTTGGAGAGAATCATGTTGAGTAAGTCAGTCAGAGGGAGAGTAATAGACTCAGAATGATTTCTGTCATACTTGGTATTTAAAGAAACTTTGTTGAGGAATATAAAACGCTAAAAGGCAATAGAAAAGAAGAGCAGGAGAACTGGCCTTCAGTAGGAAGCCTGGTACTGGTGCGGCAGTGGGGGAGTGGATAAGTTATGTAAGGGAGGACAATGAGGCAGGCTGGAGGCAAGAGGGAAACTGGGGACATTGGTGGAAAGTAGTGAACACTGGTGAAAGAATTGGTGTTGGAAAACTGTACACCTGAAAAAATCATAAATATCTTTGTAACTTTGCAATTCACGGTGATTCAATTTTTTTTAAAGTAGTCGTCTCATCAAATGGTACTTGAATATCTAGACATCCATAGACAAATAAGTGAATCTTGACACAGATTTCATGCTTTATATAAAAATTTGGTCCAGCTAAAACCACAAGTTTTTAAGTAAAATGTAAAACCTAGAAAAAGATTTGTAAAAAACAAGTGATAATCTTTAGACAATGGGTTTTAAAAAGATTTCTTGGAACTGAAGAGATAGTATAGTGGTTAAGGCACTTTCCCTGCACGTCACTGACCCAGGTTTAATCCTTGACTCTCCTCCCAAAAAAGAGTTCTTGGGTAATACACAAGAGAAAAATATTAACAAATTGTGCTGCTTTGCATGCAGAAGGCGTGGTTTTGATTATGGAACTGCTGAAAGCAACCTGTAAGGCTGCTTTGAGTGGCCACAAGTGGCCCCTGAGCACTGCTAGG